ACACACACACACACACACACACACACACACACACACACACACACACACACACACACACCACAGAGCACAGACATTACTATTACTTTTTTTTGGTTTTTCAAGACAAGATTTCTCTGTGTAACAGCCCTGGCTGTCCTGGAACTTGCTTTGTAGACCAGGCTGGCCTCAAACCCACAAAGATCCACCTGCCTCTGCCTCCTAAGTGCTGGGATTAAAGACGTGCACCACCAAAAGAAAACGATTAATATACACATTTACTTAAAATACCTTTTAACGTCTTGGAAAGATTGGGCCTTGTTCGTTCTTCAATAGATGTTACTGACTGGAAAACAATATTATTTTAATGTATAGCACATGAAGAGACAAAAAAACAATTTTCCTGAAAACTCTGAGAACTGCTGACCTGTAAGTACAGTGTCCTGTTCTTTCCCTCTAATGTAGCTGTGATAGCTGGAGACTTCATTTGCCTAAATAAAGTAGCAAACATCATTTTAGTTAAATAAATAGTTCTTACTCCTCTTAAAAAAGTGATTTTACAGTAACAAAAACTCTGAACACTTACAGAGAAGCACTAGTGGTCAGATAGTCTAAAACTTCCTGGAGTTTAGCTGATGGGGAAAACTGGATGTTTTGAGGAAGCTGGCTACATGCCGGACAATTTTCCTACAAATAAAAGAATAATTTAGAGGCACACAAACGAATGTCAGTCTTTTTAAGCAAAGATATGGAAGTCAAATTTTCTTTCAATCATGCATATTTCCAATGAAAATATTTTCTGCTTTAAAGCCTGTCTTTGTAATAAAGCATTCCCTCTAAATTATTTTGCTTTACAATTTAAGCTAGCCAATAAAAAATACATATGATTAGCTTTAGTAGCTCAGAACATGAATATTTACCTTTAAATTCCGAATTAATAACAAATAAAAGCAAGGCTGTACTGAAAAACATTTCCATTAGTATAACACTACTAACCTTTCTCTCTGCTTCAAACGTGTATGTGTACAGTCCATCTACATCATTGAACACCAAGTAATTATTAAGGGGAATGTATGCACTGTAATGAAAAATGTCCATGTTTATCTAATTGAGCAAGGTTATAACACGGAGTTCAACTCAAGTTAAAAATAAAACTCATTACCTTGTGGCTATCTTAAAAACCTCAGTAGCACACACAGCTAGAGAAAAACAAAGGCATTTTAACTTAGTAAAAATTAAATACTTTGAAAGTCAGTGATAAATCAGATAAACTTGTAATATCTATAGAGAAAATAAATTTTAAAATACATAATTTAAAAACCATAGGAAGGAACAAGTTTCATATTTGTTTCACCTTTTCCTTTGTCTTCATTCGATCAATGAAAAGCTAAGCCTATGAGTAAAAAGACATGCTAAGCCACCCTTCCCTGTGAGCACTTGGTCTAGGAGAGATACAATGTCTTTTAAGACATAATGATATGAGGTGCGGGGGCTTGGAGGAGCAGAGGTAAGGAAAACTGGTCAGCATGTAACGTATGTAAAGAATAAAAATTTCTAAAAAAAGACATACACGATATATATGTACAGAGGATACAGTAACATATTTGGTTTGGGTAACTCACTCAAGAAGATATCAAATTCCTAGAACACAAGTAACTATAGAAATATCAATTTAGATATTAAGTCAAAAATTAAAGAAAAAGTAAAACTGAGAAAGTCTTTTTTCTTTACCTGCAATGACTGCATTTGTAGAAGCTACTGCAGGAATGATTCGTTTTACTACCCCTGGAAAAAATTATGAAATAAAATATGGTCACTTCTTTTCTTTTTTTTCCTTTCAATATTTATTTTCAATTATGTGTAGGGGCGGGCATGCGGGCGTGAGTGCATACACATGTATATGCAGGTATATGAACATGTCCTCAGAGTCCAAAAGAGTTTGTCTGATTCCCTGGAGCTGGAGTTAGAAGTGATTGTGGAGAGTAAGCAACTCTTGACAGGTAAGCCATCTCCAGCTCCATTTAAAGAAGTAGTCACCTTAAGTTAAAGTAATATAATTAAATCATCTGAAGTCTGATTGTTAAATACCATTTCTGAAACTTCATTTTTCAGGTTTTCAAATCAAGAAATGAAATTGAGAATAGTCAGGCTCAGTGACATGGGCCTATTCCCAGCACCTGGGAAGTTGGGGCAGAAGAACCATGAATATGAAGCGAGTCTGGGCTACACAGAAAAACACTATCTCAAACAAACAAACAAATTAAAAAAAAAAAAACCAAAACCCTGAAAAGGTTAAACATGAACTATCTTCTTTCCCATTCCCAACATTCTGTAGTGTGTTAAAATCTTAAGCAACAGTACTGAAATAAAGACTTTGTAGTTTTACATAACGACAAAGCAGTAATGCAATAACAAGTGTTTCCTTCTATGCCAGGTTTAGAGTGAAATGTGAATAGTAAATAGTATTCAGTGTTGCTGACATGCTGATTCTAGTCACACCATCCTTGTTCTAAAAAGAAGAAAAGGAAGGCTGAGAAAGTAAATGTCATATCCACAACATTATCTCTAGTAAATGTAGGAATGCCCACCCCATATTAGTCTTATCCATTGATACACTGTACTAGACTCAGAAATGCCTAATAAGTAAGTGTAAAGGAAGTTACCTAATTATTCTTGATATATTTAGTTCAAGTCATTCCATTCACAAAATATCACAATTTAAAAAAAAAAATTTAAAAGTATCTTTCTTTTACACTACAGTCCTGACCACACAAAAGGACATATAGCTCTCTATTTTGACTATGATTTTCAGTTCCGTATTCATGTAAGCAATGTCTCCCTTAGTAACAAAAGAAAGCGTCTCTCTTCTAACTGCACTTGAAGTGCTTGCTCTAGAAGAAACCACACAATCCTAGAGGGAGAGGAAGCACACCGCAAGATGTGTTCCCAGCATTCCAGCAAGAGGAGCACAAAGCAGGCTGCTCTAGGGGAAGGTAAGAAAATAGACAGCAGGCAAGACCTGAACTTTCACGTGACAATTCTAGAACATGAGTAAATAAGAGAAAACAATCATAGAAGAGAAATGATAAATTTGCAAAAAGATAAATTTGCAAAAAGCTCTCCCTGGAGAATTCGGCAAAGCTCCAGAAGGGATGAACTGTAACAGGACTGGAACACTGGTCACCAAGGCTGAACAGGAGGACTGCTCATTGCGAGCCCATGCTAGAAGAGACACATTCAGTGACTGTGACTGACCCAGCACTCAGGAAACGGGAAAACAGAACACCCAGGCTTCTGTAGAGCATCTGGAAAGATCATTCATGGCTTCCTTGTGAAGACAGTGAAGAAATCTGAGAGACTCAAGAAGATCTGAGAACAGACTGAGACAAATCTAAAAGGCTGCTAAGGCCCTGGGTTGATCTCCAGGACCAATAAAAAATTTAATAAACAACTCTAGAATACCAATTCTTTGAGAGAGGGGGATGAGGAGGGAAGAAAGGGGAAGAGAAGGTTTTAGCAACTGCCCTGGTGAAGATATGCAGATTTTAACGAACAGCAGCATCAAAGAATAGAATCAGAACACCAATGCAAACAACAAAAGTAAACATCAGCTCTCCTTTAAGACTGTACCCATCTTCAGAGGTAAGGCTAGCCCTAGAACGCTGCACTCAGGACTAGGAGATTCAAGAAGGATGGACAACTGGGCACTGGTCAGGGAAGAACACCAAGACTTGAAGCTTGTGACACTTAAATCAGGAAGACTTAAGAGTGGTACAAACTACAAATGTGGAGAACATGTGATTGCTATGGTCAATAGAAACTACTATTAAAATGGGAATTAGGAACTGGAGAGATGGCTCATAGTTAAGAGCACTCACTGCTCTTCCAGAACACCCCGGTTCAGTTCCCAGCACCCACATACAGCTCACATCTTTTTGTAACTCCAATTCCAGGGGATCCAATGCCCTCTTCTGTCCACTGCAGGCACCAGGCATGCATGAAATGCACATACATACAAGTAGGCAAAACACGTTTAATATTAAAATTTAAAAATAAAAATAAATAAATAAATAAAAAGTAACTAGATTGGGTAAGATACTGAACAAAACTCAAACCAAAAAAGACATAGATTTCTGCTCAACATACAGAGTAACAGTGTTGTGACTGCTCCCAGGAGGGAATGAATTCCTCTTCAGTGAAAGATGAAGTAGACAGACTTTGAAGGTAAGGCCTCTTTCAATTGTATGTAAATACGAGTCAGTGATACCATTCAAACCCCACTAGCTGAGTAGCATATATTCTGCTGAACTTAGTTCCCTCCTACCTTGGGAAACTGGGAAGTCACTGCTCCTATAGTTCCTTAATTGAACTTCAAGTAGGTGGTGATCTCTAATCACTCTCCCATCAAGCATCCTCCCCATAGAGCATCCCCACCAATGCCATGACAATGACAGTTCACTAACTCACCTTGAGTGAGTCTATAGGTAACACCTCTAATATTATATTGTGATGCTCTCTCTACAGACTTTTGGAAAATCCACTGAATATGTTCAGGGTCATCTCCATCTAAAGGAACCCCATCTGTTGAGGGGAAGACAGACATATGACCATAAGGCAATTTTTAAACAAAATTTCGAAATGAAAAATATATAAAATACTTTCTAAGTCTAGATTGTTGAATTACCTCCAAACGGCTGCTCTTTGGGCCATTGTAACATCCTTACATACTCGATACAGTGTTCTGGGAGCCTGGGCATAGATGCAATGGTGCACATGGGGAAATTGACCTAAAACCACAGTTTGTCTTTCTTAGTAAAATTTAAGTAACACGTTATTTTAAAATGCAACTTCCAGGTCTGGTTTAGTTCATAACATTCATTTCAGCTCTTGATTTACATAAGCAAAACACTATAAGGCATTAAAACTGCTATACTAATAGAAGGCATCAAAATCTTTTTAGGTTGAGCTGCCTATAAAGATTTGTCCTACATTTTTAGAGCATACTCACTCAAGCTCTGTTGGCAATGAGAAGAAAAATATTAAATAAATTCTGAAATGTGAATGATTTAGTTTTACCTGTGTTTAATGTGAAGGTATAACACACACCAACACAAAAGCACAATCAGAGTTAATCAATTATAAATTAATATTCATAGGGCTGCTGTCATTTATAAATCAAAATTGCAACTATTCTTAAAAAAGGAATATGTAAAGAAACCCACCTTTGAAAAGATCATTTTTAATACTATACTTCGATTTGTATTACATTTATTTTGCATGTATACATGTGGAGCACATGCTACAATGTACATGTGAAGATTAGAAGGAAACTTTCAGCTCTCTCCTTCTGCCATGGGGTGCTAGGACTGAACTCAGTCCCTTTATCTGCAGAGACAGTTCACCAGCCCTTTTCATAGTATTTTTGGTCTCTGAAATAATCACAGTAGACCTTTCTTATTCATGAAAGATACGTCCCAAGACCCCAACAAATGTCTGAACCCCTATGTACACACACTTTACCTTAAGATAAAGTATAACATACAAATTACATACAATAGAAAATTAAAAAAAAAAAACACTAATAAAAAAGAATTCAAGGACTGGAGAAAGAATGTTAACAGCTCTTGCACAGGAGCCAAGTTAGGTTCCTAGCACCCACATCAAGTGAATCCCAACATCCTGAACCTCTAGCTCCAGGGGGTCCAATGCTTCCAGCTTAAGCGCCTGCACCCATGTGTATACATATTCATTGGTTTATTCACAGAAATAAACATAATTAAAATAAATTTAAAATAGAGTAACTCAAGTATACTCAACAAGATGACTCAAAAGTTCATATTATCCAGAAATGGATGCAACTTAAAATGGAGGGGGAGGGGACCAATTTCAATCTTATAAATCATTTATTTCTGGAATCTTCTGTTTAATATTCCCAGCCTATAGGCAGCTAGAACCATGGATAATAAAACTACAGATTAAGGGCAGGTATATGGGGAAAACAGACAGAATATAACTTATCCCAATATATAACTTTGTAATTCCTCTTAAATAAAAAATTAAGGTGCTGGAAAGATGGTGAAGAGTATATGCTCCTCTTTCAGAAGAACTGAGTTCAGTTCCCAGCACCCACATTAGGCAGCTCATTCTAACCTATAACTCCAGCTACAGTGGGATCTGTCACCTCTGGCCTCCAGGGACACTACATTCACATACCTACATACTCACACATATATACATACGTAATTAAAATTAAAAAACCCAACAAGTATGAAACTATAAAAACACAAGACCTGATAGACAGTCTCTCATAGTAAATTGTCACAGTTTATTCTTCTTGGCAATTTTGTTTTAAATTTTACTTTTGTTTTAATGCTGAAGTGTACAAGTTTGAGCTCGTGCCCTCATGGCAAATACTAACCTATACTCCCAGGCCTTAGCATATCTTTAAAGATATGTTTATCCCCAAACACTGACGAGATGTACTAATTAGTACTAACTCCACCCCAAGATGCTAAGAAAGCAATACAGGTGCCTTTCCGATTACCTGCGGGGGATAGAGTTCCAGGGTGCACTCAACACAAGCAGTCATTCCAGGCAAGATCACCCGGGCATTTCCTTTAAAGCCTTCCGTCCCCCCATCTATCAAAGGGACAATGGAGCTTGGATCCAACACACCATCTTCATAATTTAGAAGAGATATCTAGGAAAATGTTTTAAAGGGTTTAAAAGAAGGGTATAGGAAATGGAAAAAAAAAGCAGCAACATGCTTCCAACAAATTCTGGAAATCAGTCTGGGACTCAGTAGCAACACATCTGAACAAAAGAATTATATTCCTTACAATAAACATGTTCTCACTGAACCAATGACGGGCAGTAACAGTGGCATATATCTACTTAATTTAAAATTGAACAAATTCATATTTACAAAAATATGACAATTTTGATCTGGGCTATGTCAAAAGCAAGAGCAAAGATCTTTAGAGAACCCCAACACTGAAGTGTTTACCAGCATTCCATTGATCCATCTTCTGGCTATGATAGAGTCCAGGCCACATACAATAATATGAAATTCTATGAGGAAATAAAATCCACGTTAAATTTTTGATTACAGTCTTACTTTGTAGTCCTAGGTTGGTTTCAAATTCTCTGTCCTCTTGCCTCAGACTGCCTAGTGCTGGCCCCAGCACATTCACTAAGCCTGGTGCTTACAAGTGCACTAATGTAACAGTGGTCTAGCACCAGCTCATGGATCACTGTGGACGGAAAATGCTAGGAGAGCTCTCTACCTTCCATCCAACTTTGCTGTGTCTCCAAAACTGCTT